CTCGCTCATTTTCTTCCCCTTCTGGGTCTTCTATGGTGTGAATATCGTTGCATTTCATGTTGTCCCACAGCTCCCTTAAGCTGTCCTCCTGTGGTTTGGTTTTGTTTTGTTTTGTTAATCCTCACCTGAGGATATTTTTCCATTGACTTTTAGGGAGAGTGGAAGAGAGAGGGAAAGACAGAGAGAATCATCGATGTGAGAGAAACACATCGATTAGTTGCCTCCTGCAGGGAGGAGCCTGCAACCAACCAAGGTACGTGCCCTTGACTGGAATTGAACCTAGGACCCTTTGTTCCTCAGGCTGATGCTCTATCCACTGAGCCAAATCAGCTAGGGCTGTCCTTCTGGGGGTTTTTTTTGTTGTTTTTCTTTTTGGTTCTCTGATTGAGTGATTTCATCGATCCTATCCTCAGCTTCCCCTAATCTGTTGTGTATTCTTCCCACTGTTTTCTTTATTAGTGCTATGTTATTCTTCATAATTACTATATCTTTTCTAATGCTGTTGACCATCCTTGCCATCATTATTCTGAACTCTATTTCTAATAAATTTCTTATCTCCATTTTGTTTAGCTCTTCTGGAGAATTCTCTTGTTCTTTGGTTTGATGGTTGTTTTTGTATCCCCATTATGGCTGCTTCTTTGGGTAGGTCTGCTATGACTCCCAATCTCTAGTGCAGGACAATCTGAGATGCTGTCTGTTGCTCCTTTTAAAAGGTTTAACTACACAGTGTATTTGTGAGGAGCCTTTTTTTTGTGGTAACTGGAAGGATTGTCGTCTTGTAAAAACTCATGCCATATCCACAACCCAAACCAGATGTTTCTGGACTCCTGGACCACAGCTGGCCAGCTGTGCAATAGTACAAGAGCTCTCCCCCTCTAGGTGGACCTCCACCTGTGCAGATGCATAACTGAGGCCAGATGCTAGCCCTGAGTACCCTGTTTGTGGATAACAGCAATCCACAGCTTGAGGCTCCCTCTGATGGGACTAGGTGTTTTGGGCAAGGACCAAGATGTGCGCCAGAGTCTGCTTTTCCTAGTCCTGGGTCCAGAAGGAGGTTAGGCAGACTCAAAGCCTCTAGAGCAGTGGTTCTCAACCTTGGCTGCACATTAGAATCACCTGGGAATCTTTTTAAAATCCTGATTTCTGGGCCTCATCCTCCGGAAATTCTGTTTCTTTGTTACTAATGTTGTGACCCCACCCCATAACAAAAAAAAACAGAATTTCCGGAGGATGAGGCTCAGAAATCAGGATTTTAAAAAGATTCCCAGGTGATTCTCATGTGCAGCCAAGGTTGAGAACCACTGCTCTAGAGATCCTCCTCTGCCTGCAGTCCAATGGACACTCAATCTTGATTAGCCTCACACTATACACCACAGGTGGGGTGAAAGTCTTGCAACAGGGTGGAGCAACTGCCTTACCCTCAAGCAAAACCGCCTGGATAGCAAAGGTCCGCCAGCAAAGGAAATTTGGGTGGCTGCCCTCCGATCTCCAACCCCAGGCCCCAGTCTTGGAGTCTCTTCAGAGAGCTCCAGTCTTTTCTGCCAGAACCCAAGGTGAATGGCTGCACATGAAATTTTGTGTGTTGACCCTTTAAGAGGATGCCTGCATTTCCAGCAGTCTCTCACTGGCAGACAGCAATACTGCTGCTTTTCACAGCCAGATGTTATGTAGTCGCCTTTCTCAGTTTTGGTGTTTTGGGCTGGGGAGCCCAGCTTGGCTTTAGACCACAGAGTTTTCTGTGGGAGCTCTTCTAGCCCTTTCGTGCCTCTGCACTTCCTACCAGTCTGTGCGTTCTCCACTTTCCCTCCTTGGTTATCAGGGTTCTCGCCAGCTAGTCTTCAGTTCATTTTTCAGGGTGGTTTTTCTGTATTTTAATTGTATTTCCAGTTTAGTCCTGAGAAAGTGTCAGTGTAGTTTCCACTTACTACCACCAATTTTGAATCCTCCATTGATTATTAGAGAGTAGAAGGGAGAGAGACAGAAACATTGATTCGAGAGAGACACATCAATTGGTTGCCTCCTGCACTTGCCCCAACAGGGCCAGGGATCGAACCTGCAACCCAGGTACTTGCCCTTGACTGGGAATTGAACCCATGACCCTTCCATGCATGGGCAGACACTAACCCTTGAACCACATTGGCCAAGGCAGAAATGAAATTTTTGTTGATTGCATTGAGTATATAATATCACCTATTAATCTACCACAAAAACATTTTTGCCTATCTCATTTTTAAGAAGTGTAAGTACTCTGTATAGCTTCCTGATACATATATCCAGATTGTCCTCCAGAAGACATGTTTACCAGTCTTTACAATGTGTCACTTTGTATCATTTTTAACAATTTTATAAGTGAAAAAGCTATTGTATTGTGCTCTTCCTTTTGATCATTGATGTGGGTGGTTTATCTTCTATATGTTTTATATTTGTGTTCTGTTTGTTTTGGGGGTGGCTACTGTTTGTAAGACATTGTTACATATTAAGAATAATAAATCATATTTGTTATAAAAATATTTATATATTGTAAAGATTTATGTAATTAACTATTCTTTCCCTTTTTCCCCTTCCATTGACTTAATGCTTGAAATGTCTCCCTGTTGTTTTCCAGGTGACTCTGGTGATTTAATATTTCTATTCATGATTCATTGGCTTGCATCTCTTTAGTCCTCAATAAAATTCTTGGTTCTATTAATATCCTCTTGTACTCTTCGAAGGAAGAATATTTCATGTTTTCACCAGCTGTCCTTTGGTCATAGAGACACAGAATACACACACATTAACTCTAGCCGGTTTGGTTCAGTGGGTAGAGTGTCAGCCTGTGGACTAAAGGGTCTCAGGTTCGAATACACACACATTATCATTGTTACATGTAAATATATGCCCATTTTTTCTCTTTTTTATGTGTCTCATTTATAGAAAGTAGTACAGTTTTCTTTGAATGAAATAATTCCTTTGACAAGACTTAGTTTTCCTCTGTCTCCTCCTTTTCCCCCATCATATGAATTTTTATATTAAAGGTAGTATCAGCTTGGAGTCTCTATATGACTGAAAGAAGAGAAAGTAATTATTTTGGTTTGCTTTGGTTTATTAACTATAATTTCATCATAACTTCTCGGCTGAGGAAAGATGTTGCCTAAAAGTTGAACTAAATAAGGACCTGGAGAGATGGGGTAAAGGGAATGGTACTCATGCATTGCAGAGAAGGTGCTTTTCTGACCTTTAAGAACCAGTAACTAGAGAGACACATTCTTCAAAAGAATTGTCCTTGCTTAATGCCAGGACCATCCCCATTTCAGAAACAATATCTAGCATATTTAACTGTCTACTCTGGTTATAGGATAAAGATTTTGGGGAACTTGAATTCTATTTAGGTTTTGAGGTTCCTTATGAGTACAGTATTATGTATGCAATAATAATGGTTAATTTTTGTTTGTTTGTTTCATTTTTATCTCTCTTCTCATTCATTCCAGATTTTACCTTTGGATAGCAAACTCCTTTTAAGTCAGGCTTACAGTATTTAATGATAAAAATGACTTTATAAAAGGCTATCTAGGCATGACAACTTCCAAAATCTGAATCAAATGTAGAATCAAAACTAGTTTTAAGGCCTATAAAGAAAATAATACAAAATTTTAATCAGCAGTTTGTGTTTAATTATGACATGTGTAAATAGTGATCTATATTCACTTTCCACCCCCCCCATTAAAATCACTTGAACAATTTCCATAGTATGAAACTTTTAAATATTTATCTGCATAAAAGACTCTTACATCTGCTTCCTATTGAAAAGATCTTTTAAGAAAAGCTTCACAGTGCTCTCCCTCCCAGGAGCATGCCTGCCTTTCCCTTCCCCCTCATCTTCCCTCCTAAACTTAAGAAACCCAGGAGACTTACTAGGGAGCAATGGACTGAGGCATCTGGTCCCCAGTTAACCCCCTGACCCTGTCACCTAGACCCTTTTTCTCTGACTTAGTGAGCCAAAGCAGATTATTTATTTTGGGAAATATACAGAGTAAATCTTCAATAAATTATAGTTGTCCTGTTTTTTTGTGTGTTTGTTTACCTTTTCTTGTATTAGATTCCTTAGGCAAATTCCCAGTGTATTTAACGCAAAACAGTGGTCCTTACTACCATCCCCCCAATTTTACTCATTGTTTTACTACTAAAGAAAAGTATAAAAGTTAAGGGTTTCAGAGTGATGCACAATGTTGAAATTGTGATTCTGTTTTCTGTCTAGTGAATATTTTTCATCCTTTTACTTAGACGACAATACTTTTCCAGGTTTCACTTTTGTCCAACATTAAAGCTGTAAAAAAGGTCTCTGAATTGCCTCAATTTGTTCTTCTCCAGTTCAGTGTATTCTTTATAATATTACCTCCCAAAGACTACAAATTACATAAGCCATTGGGCCTAAAACTTGTACCATTTTTAAAATCTCCGGTGTGTTTTAATGTTAGTGTATTTACATATATGTTATATGTATTCTTTAGGTGATAAAACCGAATTTGTAAGTATACTATACATTCTCTAGCTATCTAATATTATTTACTAGAGGCCTGTTGCACGAAAAGATTCGTGCAATAGGCCTTCCCTTCCCCTGGCTGCCTGCACCGGTTTTCCTTCGGCACCGGGGACCCAGGCCTTCACTCTGGCCAGAGCCGCCTTCAAAGCCTTCGCTGCTCTGACCGGACCCGCTTTGATTGCTGCTCCGGCCAGAGCCACCTTCAAAGCCTTCCCTGCTCCAGCTGGAGCCGCCTTCAGTCTTCGCTCTGACGCTTCCCGCCTACATATGCAAATTAACCATATCTTTGTTGGCGGTTAATTTGCATATCTTGCTGATTGGCCAATGGGAAGCATAGCGAAGGTACGGTCAATTACCCGGTTTGTCTATTATTAGATAGGATTCAATAGATTGAATTCAATAAAAATCAAATCTTAACTCAGAGTGAAGAATACATCTTACATTGTTGTATATTGACTCTACACTTACTGGCTCCTCACAGGAGACTCCTATGATTACCAGAATAGAAAAACAGAAGCGCAAAGAGGAGGAAGAAGAACGTCAACTTCTTATAGCAGTGCAGAAGAAGGAGCAAGAGCAGATGCTAAAGGAAGAGAAGAAAAGAGAGTTGGAGGAAAAGGTCAAGGCAGTGGAAGGTATGTGGGCTTTCTGTGTAGTCTGGAAGGAACATGTGTCATAGTAATAGCAATCCTATAAACAAAGCCACATCAAACTGGGTTCTGTCATTTTTCTAAGCTGTTTCCGGCAACTTCTAACTTGTAAATTCTATTCTGTCTTCTTTATTCATCTAGATCCCATCTAATTGCCATTGCATTCCTGCTAAAACACTGGTATTTTTTTCATTGTGTGTCTTCCTTTCATTCTCTTGCCTGTTCTCATTTCTGCTAAGTCCCTTATATAGAATAGAGAAAAACTTAAAGTATTGATGACAACTATTTTCACAGAAATTATTTTGAACACAAATGAAATGTGCTCAAGAAAAGCCTTAGAGATTTTTTTTCAGCTATATGAAACTATACACATCTAGAATATTATGAAGGCAAAGCGTTTTCTCAAGCTTGGGTTCGAGTCATAGTTTTAGTGTAATGAAATTATAGCAACGGATAACAACTGTCTTTAGATGTGTTATGTAGCAGTTATATTTATAAGCTGAACCTCTTGTGTCATGTGATAACATCATTTGGCTTGTTTGAATACTGAACAATATTTATTTTCTTTTAAATAAATGTATTTTTAAAGCTTTCTTTTTTTTTTTTAATATATTTTATTGATTTTTTACAGAGAGGAAGGGAGAGAGATAGATAGTTAGAAACATCGATGGGAGAGAAACATCGATCAGCTGCCTCCTGCACATCTCCCACTGGGGATGTGCCCGCAACCCAGGTACATGCCCTTGACCGGAATCGAACCTGGGACCTTTCAGTCCACAGGCCGACGCTCTATCCACTGAGCCAAACCGGTTTTGGCTAAAGCTTTCTTTTAAATATCTTTTTATTGATTTCAGAAAGGAAGTGGGGGGAGATAGAAACATCAATGATGAGAGAGAATCATTGACCAACTGCCTCCTGCACGCACACACTAGGGATCGAGCACAAAACCTGGGCATTTGCCCTGTCAGGGAACCGAACTGTGACCTCCTGGTTAATGGGTCAACACTCACCCACTGAAGCACACTGGCTGGGCCGATGTGCATGTTTACTCCCATTCCTCTTTAGTGCCTTCTGTTTCTTAAAATGTTAACCCAATTCCTGCCTTGATTATTTCTTCATTCTAAAATCCTTAGTGCATTTATTCTGCAGATATAGCCTTTGTCTTAGCCTCTGTAGTATATCCAACTTATAAGATTTAGCATGTTTTATTTCCAGTGCTAGATTTAAATTCCTCTAGATAAGTAGTTCTCAACCTTCCTAATGCGGCGACCCTTTAACCCTTTGCGGTCCAATTTTATTTTTGGAATTCAAACAGTCTGGTCCAAATTAATTGACGGGATTGAATGTTGAACCGGTTTGCGGTGTCGACCTCAGCCTCGACGTTGGACCTGCTCCTAGCGCCT